AGGCGAATATTTTGGAAACATGATGCAATCTCGTTCATGCTATTTCTTGGCTCATTGAGCCAAGACGTTAGACTTATTTCAACTTATTATGAATTATGGCCTGTTTTGCTTTAAGTGGTTATCACAAATACATCCACAGACATAATTGTGTATAAGAGAATTTACTTAATCTTTCTATATTGATTTATATCTAAAATATATTTTTGTTATGAGTGGATATATCAATGCTGGAGAGATTTCCATTCGAAAAGTGATCTCATCCGAAGAGGACGCCTGATTCCCGTTGTACTGCCGTAATTTGCTTTGAATATGACTATCCACTTGACGCAGCGCACGATAAATCCTCCTTCGTTTCGCCCATCATATGATGAACATCATCAGACCTGGAACTCATTCTCGTAAAAGTCTGAAAAAACGCTAGACCAAGAAGAATGTCCGGCTCTTATATATATTCAAGTGTGTGTGTGTTAACGTCTATACGCCATACCGGTTCTAAATTAGAGTGATCAAAATAGGCTAATGTCGGGCTTTGATCATCAATGCTTAATGACCCAATAAAAAGCCCTGACCGGGAATGTGTAAGTCCGTAAGCAAGTATGTTTGAAATAATGAGGTGTAAGCTTGTAAGTGTTCAAGTAAAGTTATGAAAATAACTGTCCTAACCTTTCAGTCTTGGTTCATTAAGGTTTAACTACCCAAGAAAAGGCCTGATTAGGGTTGCGTAATCTGGCAAGTCTGGTTTAGTTGATAGGCTTAATTTGACATATTGGACGAGTGTTAGAAGCATCAATGAGCAGACAATTTGAGTCGCCTTCTGTTGGATGGCAATTAAACACCCTCTCTATCTTTAATCTATCAATCCTTCATAATTAATTCTTATTCAATTCTCTACCACCGTTCTTAACATTCAGAGTATTCCCTAATCTATTGATTTCAATGGCTTCTCTTATCTTCCTTTTAACAGCATACGCACCATAATCAGCAAATCTATTCGTTTAGGACCATTCTATCTCATGTCCAGTCTCTGCCATGGGTTTGGCCACTTCTCCTCCTTACAGGCATTTTTATGTTCACCTAATATTTGTCGAATAGGCCTGCCTGTCCCACCAACATAAAATCGACAGCAGAGCACCTGGATCTTGATAATATGTCATATTTTCTCTAAAAGATGGCATAGCAGAAGAAAATGTTAGGTTTCCATCTCTGATGATGTCCATCTTATAATAGACGACAGCTTAGCCGGTTTTGCCCCGTAACGAAGGAGGATGTCTCGTGGACTGTGCCAGGCGGAACATCGTTTTAAAGCTAAAACGGTTGCAGTCCAACAGGAATCGGCCGTCTTCTTCTCGTGAGGTCGACCTGCAAATCTCTTCTTCATGCACTTCACACAGAATAAAATTCGCTGCAATACCTTTAGCTCAGGAGATTTATCGACACCCATTGACTCTTTGATATCTCAATTAGGAAGTAGCTGGTCGGTCTTCTTAATGATCATTCGTCATACGTCGGACGAAAGCTAGGCACGTTTTCACCGGAATCGATGGAGATTGCCAAGTTAACATGAATGCTCCAGTAAAGTTAATCGACAGCTGGTCAAGAGTAATCGGCCGTCGTCTTTTGGTTGGATTTACTCTCGAATCTCTTCACCAAACACTTGCACTCGAAATGGAAGAGAGGTCAACAATTATGAACCAAGAGAATCATCTAAACCCAACTTTTTTCGCATAACTTAAGGCTTTTGTATGAACAAGTCCAAGCTCTGATATTGTTTAGTATGAGACGAACGAGGGGTCTGCTCACTTTTATCCAAAAGGAAGAAAGTTTTCTCGAGGACCGCGTCAACCTAAACATAGTATTAAAGCCAAACGGCTGCAGTACAAAGGGAATATGCCGCCGTTTTCTGGTGAGATTGACTTTGGAATTTCTTTATCATGCAACTTCATACGGAATGAAACTCTCTTCAACAATGTTATCTCGGGAGATTATTTGATACCCATGTGCTCTTCGTGCAATATATTAGTGCACCATTTCATAAAGTATGGTTTCTTGATCTCATATGTTCTGTCACACAACAAGCGAAAGCCTAGACCACGTCCATCGGAGTCACAGGTCGGTATGTCTATCCAAAAGTCTTCACTCTGGCGTAATCCTTGTTCGGTTTTTGGCGAGAATTTATTCCATACAACTTTTCCTTTAAAATGAAAATTGGAGTAAGACTGTACGCTATAGGGCCCGAGTTCGAGTCCCGTTATGGCTTGGACGAGACGATGGGGCGAGGCCTGAAGGGGACATTGCTTTTGAAGATATGGTTGAGGGAAATTAAAAGGCATCCTAGAATCCAGCAACTCCTTAATTCCCCTTAACAACCCTAGAATGACCCACTTGCTATTCAGACTCTAGTGATAGTCTCAAAATCAACTTATGCCTAAAACAAGTAATATCCACCCAATTTCTGTCAATAATTGCAAGCTGAAGAGCTTCGTAGTCTACTGAAGACATCATTTAATTTGGACAATGGAAGGTTCACAAAAACATCTTGTGCTGGAATCTGTTGTATTCCTCCTGGCCGAATGACAAGGTCCTAACAAATCTTCGCGAATCATCCACTCGCGGCTGAAACGTCGCCGGCTTGCCAAGCAGAGCTGCCGTATGAGGCCGGCCTTGGCCGCTGTACAGAACCCTTCCTCCAGACTGTGGCTGTTTTGCCAGGCCGGTCGTCGGGCCCCTCGCATCGCCACCGGCGACGTTGACCGACGCCGGAGCTGGGTTGTCGCGAAGCGATGCTCGGCCAGGCCTGCCGTGACCAGCGCGTCCGCAAAGACGGGTCCGGCCTTGGCGGTCCCGGGCCTCGAGGTCGGTTGTCTGCCCGGCGGCGTCAGGAGAGCCCATCAGGCCAATGCGAGGCAGACCGAACGCCACCAGTTCGCACAGGCCAAGGCACAACTCGGCGTTGACGTTGCCGTCGCCGTCGCCCTCGACCGCGAGCAGGGCCGTCTGACGCAACGCCGACTCGGCGTCCCCTCGTCTGCAGACCTCCTCGGCCAGAGCCAACCGCTGCTCCGGCGTCGTGTAGACGCAGGCAACCGCAGGTCGAACGACTCCCGCCAGTCGACGCTCTGGCGAATGTCGACGCGCCGACTCCCGTCGACTTGAAGAGGCCGAGTCGGTCGTCAGACTGACGATGCGGAAGCTGGACTCGGCCAACGGCGTCCATGTGCTCGCCGTCCGAAGACGATCTCGCTCCCTTGCCCATGTATCGGCCGGTCTCCTGGGCCTGCGGGCCGCCGAGGCCTGACGTCTGGGGCCGAGGGTTCGGCCCGGCCGACCGGCACTCAAGCCTCGAACAACGGCCTGTCGCCATCCGGTCGGCGGCAGCTCCACGGCCTCGCAGATACCCGTCAGGTTGGCAGAAGCAGTGGCTCGCCTCGCAGAGATTGGCCTCGTCGCGTCGCTGAAATGTACCCGTCCTGTCGATTTGACCCTGCCTTCTAGCGCTGGTTCATCTCGGCGCCGGTTCACCTCCTCCCGTCGCATCTGCTGTTGTTGCGGTCGTTGGTGTGATTGTGATGGGTGTCGTTGTGGTGATGCTGATTGTGGTGGCTGTGATATTTGATGTTTTTGTTGATGTGCGAATTGTGATACTTGTTGTTGTGAAGATGATAATAGCGGTGGTCGAGACATTTGTTGTTGTTGTTGTAATTTTTGTACTTGTTGTTGTGACGATACGGATGGCGGTGGTTGTGATATTTGA